ACAGGGCTAGGATTCAAGCCCAGGGGTCCCTCTGTGCAGAATGCTGTGTGGAGTGGCAGACACATAAATGTGTGAGAGGCAAACCCTCCTTATTTTAGGACCTGCAGGAAAAACAAGAGCCGAACATAGAGAGGGCGCTGACTGTTGGCACTAGCGAGACCTAGCATGTCTCCCTGCAGTCCAAAGACTACATTATGGGTGGCTTCCAAGACCTCCCAGAATTCAGGCTAATTCTCACTTCTGTCCCTCCTGCCTTTCACATACGTCCTCAGGAAAATAACCAAACTCCTACCCTTGAAATGCTCCCGCCCTCCTTGCCAGCCCCTTCTCGGGTCCCTTCCATCCTCAGATGCTCACTGTGGCTTTCTTGCAGCCATGTGAGGGCCTAGCACTGCTCTGCCTGGTTTCCTTTCGGCTTTCTTTCATGTGCGACCATCATGGCACCAGTACTGCTCTCTGACGCTAGACTACCGGGCTCCGAGGGCTTGTTATTACTATCATTATTGATACCAGGAAATGAACTCAGGTCCCTGTGCCTGCCAGGCAGGTGCTGTGCTGCTGAGCTATCTCCCTGGCCTCCGATCTTGTCGCTAACTGACCACCACTGTGGCAGCTCTGGAATGAATGCTTTATGTCATTTAGTCTTTGATATCACCCTCCACTTTACTGAGGAGGAAGCTGAGTCCCAGGAGCATTAAGCCATTCAGCATTTTACCTGGGGTCTTACAGCAATGTGTGGTGCAGCTGGGATTTAAAAACTAAGCAGAGGGGGCCTGGCCCTAGCTCAGGCCTTTAAGTGGCTGCTTCCACAAAGCTGTCAGCCTCAGGTTGCTGGAGTTCGAACCTCACACCTCTCCCGCTGGCCAAAAGTGCCCTGAAGGCACTCGAGCAACAACAACAACAAAAAAAAAAACAAACAAACAAACAAAAAAAAACTAAGCAGGAATCCCCAGTAACACAAAGAAACAAATAATAACAACATCAACAGCAACAAACCCTGGCCTGTCTCACATCCACCTGCTTGTGCTTGAGCCAGCCCTGGCCCCAAATGGCACCACAGACATGGCTGCCTCTGATACCCTGCTTGTCCTCTTCATTCTGGGCAAACACAGGTGAATCGCACTTTTCCTCTTGACCTTGGTCCCTTCTTTTTTCAGAACCGGGGATTGAACTCAGATCCTTGTGTTTGCCAGTCAAGCACTTATCCTACTGAGCCATCTCCCCAGCCCCCCTTGGTCCCTTCTTGAAAACCAGGAAGAAGTGTCTTCCTCCCAGAATTCTGAGGTGCTCTTGGGAACCCAGCCCTGAAAACTGACCCTCAGTATTTCTAAAGTTCAGCTACAGCCTGAAACTCCCAAGAAAATGATAGTTTTAAAGAACCAAGCCTAAGGTCAGATGAAAAGCAGCCCTGCGCAGGCAGTCTGTCCCATGGGACTTGGATTAGACTCTTAATCCTCACTGCTGACTTCTTCCACCTCCCGGTTTTCTGACCTGGGGCAAAATCACTTCACTCCTTCCACCCCTTTAAGCTCCTGTGAAGACTGTGTTAGTCCCCGTGAGGACTGAGCACTCAATAAGTGGTCTTAGGGTCGGGGTGTAATTCAGTGGTACAGCAAATGTTTAGCGTGCGTGAGGTCCTGGGTTCAATTTCCAGCAATCCTCTGCCCCAGAAGGGGTCATGGCTTTTGTTATGTTTACAAATGTCTCTTTCCATTTTGCCTACCCCTCACCATGCCTAAGAATCCTCAACCCTGAGCAAACAGAAAGCAAATATAATCATCAGACTGGGGCCTGGTGGTATGTGGCAGGTAACAATGGGCACAAAGGCCCTGGGGCAGCTGGTTGGAGGAGGAGCAGGATGGAGGCCAGTTAGAGGGGCAGAGGCAGGGCTGGGGAGGTAGATTTGTGGGAGAGTATGTACGCACAAACAAGGCCCGGGGTTGGATCCCCAGCACAATCCAAGCCAAAAGGTCACGCCCGATGAGTAATGAGGAGCCACTCCCAGGGGGCAGCTTTGGCTTACTTGCCACCTGGGTTGGCAAAATCCTCCAGATTCTTTCTCCAGCCTCTTCATTTCTCAGCCCTAATCTCAGGGCATTCAGATAAAACTCATTTCTTTCTGCACTTTCCCTCTCTGGTTTATTCTTTGTAGCCCATAATGAAGAGAAGGAAAGTGGTCAGGTCCTGCCCAAAGCACAAGCTAACCACTGCCAATCACACAGCCATTTCTTCTGCTGTGCCCACTCCCCTGTGTAGTGCCTACTTGGTCCCCTAGGGATGCTTCCCAGTTGCTTCTTCTTATGAGGGGACAAACAAAACTGGAAACTGCACCCCCACCCCCCAGTAATGAGAAAGTGCAGGTGTACCTGCCATGAGACACATGACCACAGCACACAGCCCTAGAGGGGATGCCCCTCTGCTGTGGCCGAATTCAGAAAGATCACACCTCACCACAGGACTTCATCCTGTTATACAACCTGCCCCTCAACCACCAACTCAGAAAAAAAAAAAAAATCCAAGCAGTAAGTAGTGAAGATAGCATCTTGGGACTCTCAGGATGTCCTGGCCAGCTCCAGAGCGGCCTGAGGCCACCTCCTCCACTTGCTCAGCCCTTGAGGGCGGCTGGGTAGCTTGTATAAAGGCATAGGCCCAAGGGTCTCCTGAGTCTCCAGGGAGCACGTTTCCTTTTTGGCTCCCCCACCTCCATGCTCCCGACACACAGGAGCTCAAGGGGAGGTCCTCGCAGATCTAGGGGCCAAGCGGTGCTCACATCGCCACCACCCATCACCCAGCTCCCTTGTTTCCAGCTTACTTGTTCTCTTTCTCTGGTGAACTTCTTGGCTATGGTGGAGGGTGACTGATCCTTCTCCCCAAATGTCTGGGATCTGGTTCTCCTCACTTCCCTTTGGACTCGACTCCTTTCTCAAGACTACCTAAAATCTGCAGTCAGCAAAGAGAAGGGTTTGGGCTGTTTATGGGCTGGCTCAGCCGAGGGGCTAGTGGAAGTGAACAAACAGCCCCACACCAACTCAGGGCAGGACGTGCGGGAGCAGATAGGGGTCAAGGCTTAGGGTGGGAGAGATAAAATCATAGTGGGTTCTCCGCAGGGCCCCAGCCAGAAGCCCGGCGCCCCATGCCCGGGACACAGAGAGCTGCAACATGACAGAAGACCCCTGGGAGACCACCCAGGGCGGGGTCCCAGTCCAGCCCGGAGTTGGAGCTCTGATATACAGGGGTTGGGTTGCACTGGATGGTGGGCCTGGAGCGGGTCGGGGCGATTCCCAGGCCTGAAGTGAGGTCGGTGGGCGACGTCGGGTAACCAGCGAGGAGCTCCCAGGACTTGATCCCGGCCTAGGGCCAGCTGCAGTCTGGCCCTGCACAGCCACTGCCACAAAGGGCGGGCATGAGCGAGACCAGAATCTGGAGCCCCGCAGGAAACAGAACTGAGTTTTGCCTCAGCGGGGGACACCAGGGACCCTGGCACCTGACGCGTCCTCCCTCCCGGGTCCCACCTCCTGCCACCTACCTAGGGTGCTTAATTCCCGGGGAGCCGGCAGTGGAGACACGTGAGCACGGATCACATGACAGCCTGATTGGGGGCCTGCCGCGGGTCACTCTGGGAGTTGTAGTTTCCAGTGTCAGTCTTGGACACCCAGCTCCCTGAGCCGTCAATCTGACAGCACTATCCTGAGCCAGCCAGCCCGTGTTTATTTCGCTATTTTTAAGCCTGGCCTCTTGAACAAGCCAGACATTGCCCTCTCCTTGGAAGAGCGTAGAAGGTTTGGCACTTTCGGCAGTCTGGGACCGTGAACTAGAGCTATTTGGCTTCATCTCTATCCTGTATTCACGCCCACTGGCCAGGACTCCTGGGGTTTTTTTACTGGAGACTGTGCTGGGCCACTTTCACTGCCTTGAGCCGAGACTCCCCTTAAAAGAGGGAGGACTGGGTTGAATATTGTTCATAGCTGCAAACTGGGGACCTTGATTCTAGTACATTTCTGAGACATTGTAGGTATTTAGTGAACATTTCTTGAGTGAAGGAACGGGTGGGTCCAGAGTCTTGGCTTCTGTTCTTGGCTGTGTGTCCCTTGTAACTTTTCACATTGTTTTCTACACTCTGATTTCCTCCTCTGTGTGTTGATGGGCTTTTTACCGTACCCACCTGTCCATTGTATCAGAGGTCCTTACCAGTAAGGAAGTATGGGGAGTGCTTGGAAACCCAAATCTTATTTTTAAAGTTAGAAATGTTATTGAGATCTCTGTAGACTCACATGCTGGGTTTTTCCCTTTTTCTTTCTTTCTTTCTTTTTCTTTTTCTTTTTTTGCCGTACCAGGGATTGAACTCATGACCCTGTGCTTGCCTTTTTTTTATTCTACTGAGCTATCTCCTTGGGCCCGCTTTTTTTTTTTTCTTTTCCTTTCTTTCTTTCTTTTTCTTTTTTGATGTAGAATCTCATCAAGTCCTCAGGTACAGTAGTTCAGGCTGGTCTTAAACTCACTGTGCAGCCCAGGCTGGCCTGGAACTACCCAGAGAGCCCCCATTTTATTTGTGCTCTCTCTTCATCTCTGACTCCCTTGCTACCCCTTGTTCTCCTCTCCTTCTCTAGAACTCTGTGTGTGTATATGCCGGTGGTGGGGTCTGTAAACCTTTGTTACATGTGTAAGATTTGTATACACATCATGTGCAAGAAATTGAACATTTCCACCACCACAAGGACCTTTCCTGCTTTTCACACTCGTTTCCCTTCTGCAAGGCCCATTAAAATCACTCCCCTCTCTGTTTCCTATTTTCTAAAAATGTGTCACTTCATAGATACTGTAATGGAATCAGACTGTCTTAGGAAGTTGAGGTTACTATCACATAATACCATAAACTGAGTGGCTTAACCAGCAGAAATGTATTTCTCACAGTTGTGGAACCTAAAAGGCCTATGATTGGGGTAAAAGGAAGATGAGACACTCTTCTACTTTGCAGATATTTGACTTCTTAGTGTGTCCTCATGGCGGAGAGTTGAGAAGAAAGAAGCTCTCTCGTTCCGTCTTCTGTTTATTTGTTTAGGTGCTGGGATTGAACACAGATTTCCTGAATGCTGGGCAGGCGCTCTACTACTGAGCTTCATGCCCAGCCCGCCCGTCTCTTCCTTCATGAGGGCATTCATCTCCTCATGAGGGTTTCACTCTCATGACCTCATCAACTCCCAAAGAACCAACCCCCAAGTACTTCACATTGGGAATTAGAGTTTCACCCCAACAGGTTTGGGGATGCAGGAACATTCAGCCCATGGCACATACAATCTAACGTTTTAGGATTGGGTTTTTAGAAACTCAGTGTAATTCCCTACAAACTCATCCCATATGTGTATATGCATGTGAGTAAGTTTTATTGCCCAGTAGGCCTCCACACTGTGTTCCATAGTTTGTTTATTTCAATTACTTATTGAAGGACATCTTAGCTGCTTGAAGTACTTTTTAAAAAACAATAGCTTTATTGAGATATTATTCATCTAAAATACAATCCAACTCCTTTAAGGTGGCAAATAAGGGGGATTTTAGTACCTTCAGAGTTATAGAAATAGTGCCACTATGTAATTTCAGAACACCGTTCCTACATCCCTGTAACCTTTAATAGCAACTCTTCATCCCTCTGGGGCCTCCCAACTCTGGTAACTATTAGATTTTTGTGCCTATTCTTTGTTTGTTTTGAGGTGTTGGGGGCTGAACTCAGGGACTTTGCACTGAACTACAATCCCTAGGCCTTTTGTATTTTTAATTTTGATACAGGGTCTTGCTAAGTTACCTACTTGCCTTGGCTGGGCTCAAATTTGCTGTCCTTCGGCCTCAGACTCTCAGAGAGCTGCAATTATAGGTGTGCCCCACCACATCTGGCTGCATTATTCATTTGTATTGCCAAATATCTCATCGTGTGTTTATACCACGTGGGTTTATTTGTTCATTGGAGGGTGGATATTTGTGCTGTTTCTACTTTTTGGCTATTGTGATTAAAGTTGGCCCGAATGTTCATGCACAAGTTTTGTATGAAATCTCTCTCTCTCTCTCTCTTTTTTTTTTTTTTTGGTTGGGTATAGCAAAGTAGAAATGATGGGTAAAGTAGTAACTATGGTGAGGCATTTTATGAACTGCCATATGGTTTTCCAAAGTAGCTGCACCATTTTATATTCTGATTAGCAGTGCATGAGGGCTCCAGTTCCTTTGCACTCACTCTAATTATTTTTGTTGTTTCTATCTTGTGTGTGTGTGAATCAAAGCCATGGATGCTCGACCATTGAGCTCCACACTTAGCCCCACCATCAGCATTATCGGGGTTTGAGTCCAGGGCCTGTGCTACATCCCCGGCCTTTTTTTTTTTTTTTTTTTCGGCCTTTTTTTTTTTTTTTTTCAGAACTGGGGATTGAACTCAGGTCCTTGCGCCTGCCAGGGAAGCGCTTATTCTACTGAGCCATCTTCCCTGAACCCCCTGGCCTATTTTTAGTTTTTGAGACAGGGTTCTTGCTAAATTCCCCAGATGTTGAGATTTTAGATGTGCACCAGTGTGCCTCTCTTTTCTATTATTTTTATGATATCTTCCTGACGGTATGGAATGGATAAGGTAATTGTGCTTTATGTGTGAGTTTTCTTCATAAATAATCATGCCATTATGGGGCCAAAGAGGAAAGCGATCGATGACATAGAGTGTGCCTAAGGAGAGTCACATGGGGAGAAGACACTCTCTCAGGCTTTCACAGAGAGCACATAGGCCAAGCATTGGCCGTGACTCATCCACATGGCTGACACTGACAAAGGTTCTACAATCTAAGGTACAGGATCTCAGGATAAATCCTGAGGGCATTTCACTGACCTTCTCAGACCAAAAAGCTACAACTCTTGTTGCACAGGTCCTGCTTTACCTTGGTCTTAACCATCTAGCAGAAAAGTATGAAGATGAAATATAGGAAGTAAAGCCATGTTGTTATGTTGAGCTGTGGGGGACTCAGGTCAATAATTTCTGACATTGCCAGTTAAACAGAAGACCCAATGCTATTATGGGCTACTGGACTCTTTTAGAATATTTTGCTGAATTTACACACCTATAATATTCAATAACGGAGCTTAAAAATGGGGTATAACTATGAATGTCCATTTTGTATCTGTGTATTCAAAGTGGTTGGGATAGATATATAGTTGCATTCTCTTAATGAATAGAATGATTTTTTCTAATGGTATTTGTAAATAGGATCACAAGTCTGCATCTTGTACAGCAATTAACCACTAAGAAGAATATATGCAGTGTATTATTTGTTGAAACTGTACTTTCGATTTGATTTGAAACTGTCTCATTGCTATATGTTTATCAATAAAACTTTGAAAAGAAAAAAAAATCATGCCAGTGTCTTTTCACATACTTATTGGCTGTATCTTCTATCTTCTTGTTCTTCTTCTTCTTTTTTTTTTTTTTTTTGAACTCAGGCCCTTGCACTTGCCAGGGAAGTGCTTATTCTACTGAGCCATCTCCCCAGCTCCTTCTTCTGTCTTCTATGACAAAGCATTAAGATGTTTTACCACTTTTAGTTGGATCTTTTTGGTACTGTGGATTGGACTCAGGGCCTTTGCCCTGAGCTATGTTCTCCACCCTTTTTATTTTTTTTAATTGTGAGACAGTGTTGCTAAGCCATTAAGTTGCCCAAACTGGGTTCAAACTTGATATCTCCTTGCATCAGCCTTGAGGAGTTCTGAGGTTACAGGCATGTGCCACCATACCTAGCTTGTCTTTTTATTATTTGAATTTAAGAGTTCTTTATATATTTTGAATTAAAGTTCCTTAACATATATGTGATTTTTAAATAGTTTCTTCCATGCTGTAGGTTTCCTTAATGGTATCATTTGAAGCACAAAATTTCTGGTATTGGTGAAATTTTGTATTTGGTGCCAGCTCTCACTATGCAGCTCAGACTCATAGTGAGCCTCTTGTTTTCAGCCTCCCCAACGCTGGGATTGCAGGCTTGCACCACCATGCCTGGACTTGGTTGCTCGCTCAGTAAGCCCTGGGGGTGGGGCCAGCACTGCATGTGGTGCCAGGGATCAAACCCTGGTCCTTGTGCTTGCCTAAGCAGGTGCTTAGTCCACTGAGTTATCTTGCTGGCACCATACATATGTTTTTTTTGAGCTGGAATCCTGCTGTGTTGCATAGGCTGTCCTTGAACTCCCGGGCTCAAGAGATCCTCCTGCCAAAGTGTTGCAATAGCTCTGATTGTAGGTGTGCACGCCTCTGTGCAGGGTGGCTTGGTCTCCCTCTCTCCCTAGCTATCATTTTTTGCTGCTTAGTTTTGGCTGTTGCATCTAAGAGAACATTGCCTAATTCATAGTCATGAGATGTACACCTATGCTTTGTGCTTTTATACTTGAGTGTCTGACCCATTTAGATTTAGCTTTGTATGACATCAGTAGGGACTCAACCTTTTTGGCCATTCCATATCCATATCCATTTGTTCCAGCACCATTTGTTGGAAAGACTACTCTTTTCCTATTGGGTTGCCCTAGTATACCTTTCAAAAACTAAATTAGGGGCCGGGGAGATGGCTCAGTG